ACTTATAAACAATGTAACGTCACATTTACCTCAGAAACACATATTCGGTGACCATGAGCTCATTAGTCAGCCAGAAAAATAAACTGTAGAGAGGGCATTTTGCTGAATATATGCACCATATAACATTCATTATAATGTGTTACTGTTCTTTAATGTTTTATTCATGTTTTCATGACAACCACTATTTAAATGTTTATATTGCAAAAAACTAACTGAAGTAATTGTAACTTAATTCTTTTAAAAACTTCATTACGTGTGATTTAAACAAATCAGTCAATTTTAACCTTCAGTATTATAGTAATGTAGTATGGTTTTATAATTTGGCATGTACTGTCCCTAATTGTATTGTGGTATGATTGTGGTATCAGCAAAAATGTTAAGACACTCAGATCATACTGAGATATGTGTGTGTGTTCATTGGAGTGAGGATGCTGCCTTATAAGGGTGCCGTCTATGTAGTTTGTCACTGGTTTTGGCACAGAGCCGGTTCTTCTAACAGAGTTTCAACCAAGACAAGCAGAAGACCAAACACACGTGTCCTGGCACACGAGGGTTTTGAAGCCACTCCAAACGCTCTCGTCTATTTAAAGCAGAAGCCCGTGGCTTCACTGCACAGTATTTTAATTAATTTAACTGCTCTGTGTGATTAAACGGCAAGAAGAGGAGATGGAGATTATATTTCACAGTGCAGAACGAACATGACGAGTGTCAAGAAGTTAAAGTCAACCTGAACATCCACAAGCCATTTCACTTCCGTCATGTGACGTAATATTTATGGGTTTTATAATTTGGCATGTACTGTCCCTAATTGTATTGTGGTATGATTGTGGTATCAGCAAAAATGTTAAGACACTCAGATCATACTGAGATATGTGTGTGTTCATTGGAGTGAGGATGCTGCCTTATAAGGGTGCCGTCTATGTAGTTTGTCACTGGTTTTGGCACAGAGCCGGTTCTTCTAACAGAGTTTCAACCAAGACAAGCAGAAGACCAAACACACGTGTCCTGGCACACAAGGGTTTTGAAGCCGCTCCAAACGCTCTCGTCTATTTAAAGCAGAAGCCCGTGGCTTCACTGCACAGTATTTTAATTAATTTAACTGTACACACAATTTTATCCTCATACATGCAATACACTCATATAAAGCAATACATAGCAAATGTCAACCATTTGCCTGTTTATATCGTCACAAATGTAACTCTACTATCGTCTAGCTCTAATCTGATCAATGCAATTATAAGGCATGAAGATACTACATTTTTAAAAACATTAACATCATAAGTTTCTGTTGTTGTTTTTTTGACTAACTACACTTTTATTAAAAGACATAAAACTGATATTATAGCAAACGTGCATGAAACAGATTCACAAAAAAGTTATAATTGCACGGAAAGATTAAAGTAAATATATATAGAGAGAAAAGTAAATAAATATATATGCACAAACATAAATGATTTACAAACAGACAGAAAACACACCCAACTCTCACCCAAACAACTGTGCAATCCAATAGTTAAAGCAGAAAAAATTAAGACAAAAAAACATTAATCATCACCAGTTTGAAGAAAAGAAATAAAAGGGAACCAAATGTTGTCAAATAACAAACATTTGTCCTTTTAGATGCACCCAGTTCTTTCTAAGAAAGATGAACACTAAGACAGTGAACACTAGTGGTCGACCGATATATCGGCCGATATTTGGCATTTATCAAATATCTGCATTGGCCGCTAAGTTTTTCTGTTTAGCCGATGCGTTCTAGGCGGGACTTTTATTTTGACGGCGCTGAGAACGGCAGCGCCTGAGCACACAGTGCTTACGTTCTCCTCTTGCTCGGCGTCGTCGTTAACAGTTCTGTCTAATATGGATTATCTAATACGTCTGTCTAATAATCCGATAGATCTGTTAAACGAAGGAATTAAAATGTATACAAAAGTATTATAACGATCGATTTTATATTGTTAGTAATAGAAAGGCAAACATTATAATACTTTCTCGTTTGCCTTCAGCATTCAGCAAATACGCATTTACATCATTTAAACAAATCTTTGAACGACTAATGAGCATCTAATTTCACAAACCTTGCAAGTTTAGTCGAATCCAGCTGTGAGATTTTGTGAAGTGTGCATGGGACCTGCATGATCGCGTGTTCTCTGTATGACGATCGGTCCGTGCAAACTGAATGCTTTAAACATTAAATTCGTGATTTCAAATTATGCTGCGCTTTATGCTTTTCACCCACGGTCATATTCATGTCATTTCCACTGTGTGCTGCATGTAAAATAAGTGCTACCTTGGCTTTATTTGAAAAAATGTGATTCCCGATGCACACAAACTTCCCAGAATACTGAGTGCCCTGTTGGTTAGTTTACTTCCTTTTTAATTATATTTGTATTAAATATGTATTAATTTGTGGAATAAGTATAAGTATGTTTATTTTACAAATGTATTCAATTTAAAATTTCTTAAATATTAAATGAAAATTAATACAACTATATCGGCTACCATGCTTTCCAAGATATCGGCATCGTCTGTCGACCACTATGCGGTGTTATTTTACACTCATTACGTTTCTGTACCTGAATACTTCTGTTAGAGCTTATATTATTTGTAACTGTTATTTGTTCTTTTTACTGACTGTTCACTTGCCTTTAATCATGTTTGAATCTTCTTAGGCTATAGCTGTGGTGAAGTACTTAAAGCGTACTTTAAGTTATAAACGAAAAGCAAAGTTAAACTGATGTAAATTAAGTGGAATTCATTTTTTGTTGTTGTTTACTTTGATGTTAAAATGACATTTTTCAGATTTGTGACATTACTTTTTATGTAGCCTAATGCTAACACCCCAAGAAAAAAATGTTAAATATATATTGGTTATATAATTTCTTTCTTTTTTTTTAATTTAAATTGATTTTACACACTTAAAAGTAATATTGTGTCGCATATCGAATGTCGCAGAATTTAACAAGGCATCGCATTTTTCTTCAATATCGCACAGCCCTAATAAGTAATATCGGATCTGGTTCAAAACGTACGTCAAACGCATCTGAAAAAACTGAAACATTGTTTCAGAAATGCAGTCATTTTGGACACAAAACATCTAAAAACTGACATTTGTCATGACTTTCTATAAAGCTGCTTCGAAACAAAGTGTGTTGTGAAAAGTGCTTTATAACTCAAACTGAGTTGAGTCGACGTGTGCAGATAGGCCTGTCGCAATAATCAATATATCGACTTATCGCGCAATATATGTACATGACCTCAAACATTTTTGGTGAAGCAATATATACACGTCACCGTGCTTTTTACATTCCACTTGCACCTGAGCCTTTTGCAGCTTCTCGTACATAACGTGGTGTAGTCACGAGGTCCTAGTTCAAACTTAAAAAATGCTTCTACACAAGTTTGATCTGCAGATGTGGCCTTGTTTAGGGGTCGGTGTGTGTGTGCAGACGCACATCTGAGTGCTGAGCAGTGCTTGTGTTTCTCAGCAACAGTGTGCAGCTTTAGTTTACAGAGAAACGACGGTCAGGGAAAAATCTGCATAGAAGTTCTGTGCGCATTTCTCTACTTGTTACTTTGCACTTTTTGTCAGAAATGTTTATTTACCATTTATTCAAGTTTTTTAAGGCATCTAATATTTTGATACTTAATTTCCATGATCTAAATATTCTTCATTATAAGTTTGTTGTCATTTGGAAGTGGAAGTGTATTACTCCGTTACATTATGATTATATACTCAGTGGCATAAAACGGTCTTTAAAATGACAATAATATCGCTTATCGCAATTATTTCTGGGGCAATATATCTCACAACAAATAGCTGTTATCGTGACAGGCCTGTGTAGAGATGAACCACTAACTAACTAACACAAAACACGTCTGTCTTCATCTACTGACTGACTGAACAATCTTCAGAACGACTCCTGCGTATGAACGAGCGAGCTGTTCCAAATAATTACTAATCATGTCAAACATTGGTTTAGTCAAACGAGAAAACAGAAGCGTGTACTGTATATGCACACATACAGTATATATTTTCTAAATATTAACATGTATATTTATATTCATATAATTTATCTTATACATAAATGTGTTTAATACATAACATTTTTCTTAAATATATACACACATGCATGTGTGTGCATTTATATAATATATATACACACACAGCAAAAGCCCACATATTATGTAAACAAACACTTTTATTTTGGATGCGGTTTTATTTTTATTTATTTTTTGTGTGTAGCCAGCAATACATTGTATGGGTCACAATTACCAATTTCTCTTTTAAGCCAAAAATCATGAGGATATTAAGTAAAGATCATGTTCCTTGAAGATATTTTGTTAATATCCTACCGTAAATATATCAAAACTTAATGTTTGATTAGTAATATGCATTGCTAAGAACTTCATTTGGACAACTTTAAAGATGATTTTCTCAATATTTAGATTTTTTTGCACCCTCAGATTCCAGATTTTCAAATATTGTGCTATCCTAACAAACCATACATCAATGGAAAGCTATTTATTCAGCTTTCAGGCTGGGTTTGTGCTCCAGGGTCACACATTAGATTACACTGACAGCTAGCTACGCTAGCTTACCATAGCATCGGTTGAAGTAGCGTGTAAACAGTATGGTAAAGGACCACAGTAACCACAGAATAGCATTGTTTACCTCAGTAATGTGTGGAGTGGGTGACAATATAAAAGCAGAGACCGATAAACACACAATCCAGACTCACACAGCAATAATCTGAGGTGAAACGAAGAGAACGAGAGGTTTGCCGATCGATCTGATCACGTGATGCGGATAATCGATCAAAGCCAAAGCCCCAGACATCGCCAGGAGCTGAATAAGAGTGTTTTGATGAGTGTTTGTGCGCTAAACGGCGGTTTGTGTCGACGCTAGCGAGCGTGTTTGATCGGCGGCGGTTAACGTTAACGTTAGCGGCGGCTAACACTCATCTCTGACCGAGAATAAACTCCACAAACACACTGACCTGAGGCTGCAATCATCACCAGCACGACTCAGAGACTCGCGTTTCTGCTCTTCTTTCGCTTATTTTCTCGCATCTGTTCTTCACAGCTGCTGCTGCTTCAAGGCTGCCGCCATCTTGTTTGCCTCCCTCCCCTCGCTGCACTGCGCATGCGCAGCGGGAAATACATTACATTTCATATCGAGATTATACGCGTGTAACACCGCTTATATTGCATTGTACTATCACGGAGACGTTTGCACGCAATTATAATGAGATTTATGCAATGCTGAGATTAAACTTTACCTCATGAAAACGATTAAAGTACTATAATCGTGTTAAAATATGTGGCGCGTGCCGAATGTAAGCCCTGCTTAAAAACAACAACAATAGGATAGACACCATCACAGCATGTGCAATGCTTTTACTGGTTATAATGGGACTTGCATTGGTTTTAATGGAAACTAATGATGTCTAGATCTAGGATACACTGCAAAAAGTGATCTTTTTACTTAGTATTTCTGTCTTGTTTTCTACAAATATCTAAACACTCTTGAATCAAGATGCATTTACTTGACAGGTGAACTAACTTCAGATATTGAGTCTCGTTTGCCAAAAAAACCCCCCAAAACGATCAAAATGTTAGTTTTTGCTTAAAATGAGCAATTGAGATTACTTAATTGATTTTGAATTACTTTTCTTGCAAATATATTTTTGCTGGATTTAAGCAAAAACTAACAACATCTTGATCTCTCTCTGTTTTGTTTTGTTTTAGCAAACAAGACCAAATCTTACCTGTCAAGTAAATGCATCTCCATTCAAGAATTTGTAGTAGAAAACAAGACAAAAATACTAAGTAAGAAGATCTTTTTTGCAGTCTAATTGGTCAAACCAATACATCTTAATGGAATATGTCCCAAAACACACGACACAAAACCATTTTTAATGGTTTTATTGGTTAAAAGTTGATGGTTTGTAATGTTTGTAATGGAAACCATTAGCATTTTCTGTGATGGTTCTATTTTTTTTCTTCCTATTCTTTTTTGCAAATATATATTTTAAATGAATGCTAAATATAAACAGTGCAGCTCAATGAGATATATTTCTGAAATGTTAGATACAGTAGTCAACAACTGAAGTGGATCAAAACAAGCTGTCCCAAGACAAGAACACATTTAGGTTTTAGGACGTGTCGTCTCGGTCATGATCATTGGTTCTGCATGTGTTCTTGGATTGTGTCCCTCATCAAAAGCTCATTACTAGAAGCTTTAAAATCATTTCACTTGATGAGATACTGCATGCGTCTTTGCTGATCCACAATGAGGAGGGAGAATCATTAGGTGGTGTTTTAAAAGCTGTCTCTCCTTCTAAGAGCAACATCTCTGAAGCCCATGACGTCACTACCGGTGCGACTATAGTATAAATAGGCGCCGGGAGAACAGGTCATTCTCTTCTTCGTCTTCACTGACTGTTTTGTTTGAAGCGTGCATTTGAACGTGGTAAGAGCGATCTCTATCCTATTATTATGGCGAGCACTAGCAGAACGTTTAGAGGATGTGTGCATCCGTGTCGTCATTATTTGACACCTGATGACACACACGATCTCTGCGTTTTTTGTTTGGGTCAGGAGTCCTTAAGGGGGCGATTTGTGTGCATTGTGGGCTTTTTTCCGATGAAAAAGCTCTGCTCTCGTTTGTCACTTTTTTCGAGAAAAGAGGGGCAGCCGTCTGCTCCACGCGGTTCAGGACCCGCCGCTGCTGAGGCACGGAGGAGAATGAGCTCGTGGGGACCGCAGGTGGACCTGGCTGATGAGTTTAAAGAGTGGCTTTCCCTCTCGCGCTCGTTGGCTGTGGATGAGAGAGAGCCGCTGGAGGATGATGTTATTTCTCTAACATTGTCTGATCCGGGGGCCAGTGCTCTGCTGGGTTCGGCCCAGGAAGAGCAGGAGATGTCTGAGGATGGCAAAGAGGCTGAGCCTTCCCAATCCTCCTGCCCTGCGTATGATGAGCTGTTGGAAGTTATGGATCGCGCCACGGCAAGGCTGGACTTGCCGTAGAAGCGGGCCAAGAAAATGACTTTGCAAGGTCACCTCAATGAGCGTTTTCTTTCTGGCCATAACCCTCCAGCTCAGGTGAGCCTTCCATTTCTTCCTGATTTGCATATTGAGATCGAGAAGGAATGGAAGAGGCCGTTTTCCTCACACATCTATCAGTTCCAGCATACGAGTTATGCCAACATGAGAGGCGATGCATGAAAACTGGGGGTTTTAGATCTGCCCTTTTCTTCCCCTTCCTAATTCCCCTATAACCACCAGC